CACAGACAGCCGGCCATCATAACGAATGGTCTAGGCATCCCCTGCCCATCCAGCCCTATCCCCAGATGCAATCCCAACCGAAATCCCCAAGCCCCTGACTAGCGCTTGACGGGGGGGCTTCCACTTTTTACCGCTGTCGCTTTTCTATCTTTTCTTTCTTGTTTTAGCTGCTGCTGCTTTTTTTTCAAGTGCGCATTTGACAAGCCCAGTAAACAACAATTAAAATGACAACGGAGGAGATGGAAAGGCGAAAGGCGAAAGGATATCTGCACGTTTCGTGCTTTCTTCTCTGCTGCGTCTCTGTCGAAAAAAAGAAACGAAAAAAATGTGTGTTGCCTCGAATGTAACTGATGAAAACTGACGTCAGGCACGGGGTCCAGGGTCCGGGGCCCGGGGCCCGGGGCCCGGGGCACGCGGCACGGGACAGGGTCTGCTGTCCTAAATTATAGCCACAGGACATTCTCACACAAAAGCAGCGAAATCACTGCCATACAATGGCACTCTCATCCTGCTCTCATCCGAGGCAAATAACTTGAGGACATGCCAATGCAATTTCGAATCAATGTCCCAGGTTCCAGGCCTGGTCCAAACAGGCCAAAGAAGAACTGAGGAAAACAAACCCAAAGCCAAAGCTGATCTGAGCTGAGCTGAACTGAACTGATGGAAAAACGCATCCAGGGGGCATGTTCTCGTTAAAGATGGGCATGTGATTTTTTTGGGGACTGGTAAAAGAGAGTTGAAGAATTGGTCAGGGAGTTCAAGGAGAAGGGATCAAAGATCCATAAATAGGATTCAAAATGATCTTAATCAATGAAAGATTTATATAATTTTAAGGGAAATTTGTTGTTTTTCCAATTACTTGAATCAAATATTCGATTTTCAATCATTCAAAGGCTTCAAGACATTTCGAAAGGCCCCCTGCTGAAAGCCAACACTGAGTACTGTATGTTGGGTTGACCTTGTGTTATATAGTCAGTGGTGCTTCTACCCCGATGACACATAATCATCATCATCATGCCCATCATCATCCCCAGAAACAGCGGCATTAGGCAGCCCCTGCTATTCTGCTATTCCATTCGATTCGATTTCGTTTGGACAAATTGTTTGGCTAATTTGCTCGGCATTTGCCTAAGCCCCCGGCACATTTATCATGATGCTTAAGCAGCATTTTCGACCCGTCCATCAGATGCGTCGTCGTGGTCGTCGCCGCCACAGCAGAAGAGAAACTATTTTTGTAGCACACGGGCAATGCGGCGTATGAGTAATGTCTTGATTCGCCAAACGTTTTAACGGATTTAAAATGTATTTATTGCGCTCCGCTCGAAGCCCGACGGCCCCCGACGTTAAATTTAGCCACCTCTCGACTCTAGAATCTGTTGTTTGTTTGTTTGTTTTCGTTCCCATTCATTTCAGATCTTTTATTGCCCGTATATACTCGTATCGTACTGCTTGTAGCTCCAATAAGTAAGTATTTCGATCTGATTGCAGATCTCTGGCATGCGTGAAGGACGGGTGGACGGGGATGGGTGGAATGGAGGGATGTCCATAATTGTGGGGATGATTTGGATGCCTAGGGAAACGGAATGCACACCTGCATGGGGTTCAAAGGTGGACTGGGTGTGGACGAGACTCTGACAGAAATCGAATGGAATTTATGTCTGCATATTTGGAAATGAGTGTGCTTCGGTTTTGGGGAAGAATAATGGTGCGGCCTCTCATCATTTATATAGATTTCTTTGAAGCATTTTGTCATCGTTGTTTGTCATGGATTTATAGATAGATCGAATATTGGGAGATCTATAGTGACTTATCTCTTTTATCTTTTATAAGTTTTCCTCACTCCCCTTCTTGAGAATCCTTATATGGTTTTTCCTCCAAGCTAAATGCCTACTCTACCCTGGGAATACTCGCATCAGTAATAAACTTCACATTCCTCAGAAATATAGAGTGCGCACGAGAGCAAAAAAATCCCTTGCAAATCTCAGTTTTCCGCACATGGGAATCCTCACATGTGTCTGTTATTAACAGATCCTGTCTGAGTTTTCCTGTGCATAGCATATCCCTAATTTTCGTATGCAAATGTTGCCTCTCATTAGTGGCGAAAAATGCGAAATGGGTTTGGGTGATTCGGTAGTGATTCCGCCCATTCGAATGGCATTCGATTTCATTCGATTTTCATTTTCATTTCATTTGATTCCATTGCAATCTGCGAAATTTTGGTGAAGTTTTCCCCCTGCGCTTGCATATGCTCGTTTTTCCCAACATTTTCCTGTGGTTTTGTCTTTCGCGCCGCCTCATCGGAAATATTTTCCGGCCTGGACATTTTCCTGTTTCCCTTCCCCCCTTTCATTGTTGTGTTCTCGTTTTCGTTCTCGTTCTCGGTTGTAATTGCCCGCCCGGTTTTGTTGTTGTTGCTGTTGTTGAGGTCACATTGAACGTCAAAGGCGGCAATGGCAACGTTAATTTCGTTTGCCCATAAACATGCAACATATGTGTTGCAGGGACATAGCGAGCGAGTGCCAGGGCGAGGGCCTCGGCCTGGGCCTGGGCCTGGGCCTGGGCCTGGGCCTGGGCCTGGGCCAGGACCACGACGCGAGGGAGTGAGGGGAGGGGAGGGTTGTTGTGTGCGCGCGGAAAAGGGTCGATCCAGACCCGGACCCGGACCCGGACCCGGGAATGCATTTTGCAACCCTAATAAAGCGCGAGGCGTTTGGTCCGGGGCACACGTGCCTGCCCCTGATAGCAGCCCACTCTTTCCTCCCTCCCTCCCTTCCACTGTCTGCGCCTGTGTGGCGGTGTGGCGGTGTGTCGGTGTGTGCCTCCTTCTGGTGTGACTGTGATTTATGCACTAAACAATACTAAAGGACCGCTTGCCTGCATGTCCTCCCCCAACCAGTGTATTCCGCAGAGCCAACAAAAAATTGCAATGTTATGGCTCATGATGACCACGAAGGACACTTTCATCAAGTGCCTTGATGAAACGGCACCGCACCGCACCACACCACATAGAAACGTTGAATGATTTTTGATCCACAGCTGAATAATAGATGCTCCTCCAAGCAGCGATACATTTTGGAGTCCCCTTCACAATGATGGCCATATGTATCTGTCATTTCTTATCAACTGTGCACACACAGAGAAAAACCATTCATTGAATGGTTCTATTGATAAACATTATAAATACAGAGAATGCACGATTAACAAGCTGAACATTCAGATGCTCTTGCCGGTTGGGAAACCCTTATCTTCAAATTGGTTTAAAGGTTTGACTTTCCTAAGTGGAAAGTGCTTCGATCAGGCCTGAATTCCTTCAAGATCGGACGAAGAATAACCTTCTCTCTCACGGACTACTTTATCCAATATTTATAGAAATTTTTCTGGGTAAATAAACAGAAAGGCAGACATGGCCATCGAAAGACTTTTTTTGCTAAAAAAAAACTAAAATTATTTACTATTTACAGATCTACATCTGTTGGCATTGGCAAATGCGCTGTTTTAGTCTCAAACAAATGTTTTTATTTAATTCGAAAAACCTTTCGTCAAGTCCCCCTCTTCAAGGGTATAGTAAAAGGCGACTCTTCTACGAGTGCTTATCCTTCCTATACCATGTATGTATGTTTTTCTGCCTCATTCCTCTGGAGAACCCTCACATATTTATGGCAATTTCTATTGATAAATAAATACGAGTACATATATTTTTTTCTGTTTTCTAAAACCTTCCCTGCTCTCGTTTCACATTTCGTTTCGATTCTGGATTTATTTTCGCGGCTGTTGAAAATGCTTATCAAATTAATTTCGCTTAAATTCGCGCTTATTGTTCGGGCTCAGCGGGTTTTTAGAGGGTTAATTGCGAGGGTTTATCCTCTCCCCCCAACCCACCTCCACCTCCTGCTCCTCTATTCTCTGGACAGGGTTGCCATTGTTTTGTGATTGAATGTTTGTTTGCTTTTTTTATCCCCCGTCCACGTCACCGTCCCGGCCGAAAGGTGGAGAGGGTTTCGATTTCAGTTTTCATCTCCATCTCGAAAGGTCGGAAGGCGTAAGCGGGCGAGGGTTGGCCCAAGAGTTGCAAATTGATTGTGAAACGGTTGCGTTTACGTTTAGGTTTACCTACTGCTGGCCCTGGTCCTGGCCCAGGCCCTGCCCCTGCCACATGCCACATGCCGCCGCTGATGCTCTACACGTGTCCGTCGAGTTGTTCAATTATGGCTAAGCCCAAATCCGCAGCACAAACAGTTTTTTGCCTTTCGGGAAGAGGAAACGAGAGCAAAAAGAGCAAAGCCAGAAAGTCCGCCCCCGCCTTTGGGCCGTCGATGCAACCCTCCTCGCCAGCGAGTCCTGCGAGTCCTGTGTGTCCTGGCGAGTGGCCCATTTAAGATGAAAACTAAACACACGCGCAAGTCGCCCTGGAAATTGAATCCAGATTGAGTTGTCGCCCGTCCTGGTCCTCTACTCCTGCTCTTTGGGAATTTCTTTATTTTAACTTTGTGCCTGGCGATATGTTTGCACAACGGATTGGGATTGGTATTGCGCTTGGGCTTGAGCTATCGATGGTCCTTGGGGGGGCGGTTATTCTCACTCCCAAATTACCATTTTCCATTACCATTTTGGGGAATATCCCAATCCTGAAACATACCATTTTCGAAACTGCAGAAATTCAGGTAAAATCATCTAGGATCATAAATGCTAAACCCATCTTAATCCCGACAGATGTACGGGGAATCCTAAGCTACTTTACCTATGAGATATATACATTTTATCCTTGTTATTTTTATAAGTTAATATTTCATTGATTTCCTATTGAAATCCTTGGCTTTTCGGGGAATATTTCTTTGGCACTTTGAGCATCTGATAGGGAAACGGAATCATCGGATTCTGTTCAAAGTTTTCCATTCCAAAAATATATTTCTTCGAAATCATCCGAAGTAGTTTTTGGGGAAATGTTCCATATTGTTCCACTTCCTTTCATATATCGTTTATAAGTCTTGGGGTTTACTCACTTTTGCATTCGTTGGCATCGCGGGCCGTGGCCCTGCCCCAGGGACGGTCGTAGTAGAAGGGCTTGCAACGCTCGCAGTCCCTTCCTGCGGTATTGTGGCTGCATTCGCAGCTCAGTTGCCCGTTGGCATCCGGCGAGCATTTGGAGGCGTGGCCGTTGCACTTGCAACGCCCGCCCACGGAGAAGTCGGAGACGGCATAGTGGAGGCCAGTGGCAGCGGCAGCGGCCGCGGCCCCCGACACGGATACCGTGGATACGGCGGGGGAGGAATCAATGTTGTTGCCCGCTGGGCTGTTGAGTTGCACGCTGTACTTGGCGCTTCGCAGGTCCGACGGCGGAGAGTCGATGGAGATGAGGGCCTGCGGATCGGGCTGCTGCAGGCGGTGGAACACGATGCGTATGTCGGTGGCCGTCACCCAGTGCTGCAGCACCGTCGAGGAGTCCAGATCGCGGGCGGAGGGGCGACCCTCCAGCGTGCTGAAGGCGATCCGCGAGGCGAGACCCTCGTTGCGGCCCTGCCCCTGGCGATGGGGATCGCTGCAGCGCACCTCCTGCTCGTTGTGCTTGCTCACGGCCATGCGGCTGGAGCGCCCGAAGAGGCGCCAGCACTGCGAGCTGTAGTACTGGAAGGGCTCCCAGCTGCTGCCATAGTCGGAGCTCTTGTAGATCACCAGGGAGTCGGGACGCGGTGCCCGCGGGCAGAACTGCAGGCTCACGTACGTCAGCTCGTACCGCTTCCCCAGAGAGAGGGTCAAGGTCACGTTGTCACCGCCAGCGCCGCCAGCACCGCCAGCACCGCCAGCACCGCCAGCCCCTCCGGGTAGCACAGGAGCCGATCGCCAGCAGGTCACATTGTTGGAGTTGTTCAGATCCGTGAGGGCGCGCGGCGGGAAGCTGCGCTGCGGATTGGCCGCATCGCACGTGTGGCACTGCATCTCCCTGTCCGCCCCTGCTCCGTGCTCGCAGTACCGCTGCGGCTGCTCGGCCCCACACGTGCTGCTGGCTTCCACGGGTGCATCATAGGCGGCATTCACGAAATCGGGGATGCAGATCCGCGGCTGGCGCGACTTGTCGTAGCAGGGATCCTCCGCCACCGGCGGTTGCATGGGGAACATCTTCAGATAAACATCGTTGGGAATGGCCTCCACTGCCATCACAGACCATACGGTGGCCAGGATGAGCATCTGCCAGCAGCTCCAGCTCCTGCTCCAGTGACACATTTTTGAGAGATGCGAATGTTTTTTTGCGGATGCTGATTCGGATTCGGATACGGATACGGGATATAAGTTTTTTGCACTGCCTTCCTCGATGGTTGCTTCACTTTTGCCAAAAAAAATTCTATCACCAAACAAAATATATAGTTATAGGAGACAGGGTCCGGTGCACGGTTTTCAGATTTGGTTTAAAATTTCCGGATTCAGAGCCGTATGCGCAGGCGTTTTTCACTGTGGCACTCACTCGCGCCTTCGGGGGCGTTTTAAATCGCGTGCGACTCTTCGGCGTCGTCGTCGTCGTCGTCGGGCAGAGCTTCGTCGTTTTGAACGTCGTCGTCGTCGTTGGCGTCTTCGTTTAGTGCCGAGAGCACTAAATGCTGCTGCGACAGCATCTCATCTCAACATGTTGCTAGTCAGCAACTCACCAAAGTCAGCTCGCTCTCTCGCTCGCACTTACTGTTGTACTGCAGCGCACTGTGTTGGATACATTTGTTGCTGAAGCCAATGTTGCCGAACCATTGATGCTGCTTATCAAGATACTGCTGGCAATATGTGGCTGGCAGTATGTTGCATTGGCAATGATTTAATGGCCTTTTTGGATTTTGTTGCATCCACAGATTGTGGTAGTATTTTGAGTCCCAACATAGGAATAAATGCAAGCTGAATATATCGCGATTGCGACTCTTGACTGAGTGTCCCAAAATTTCTAAGGGAAATAGAGCAGCAAAAGATTTTTTAAAAATCAAAATCTATCAGATGGTATATAATATTTTGCTGATTATCTAAGGTAATCCAAATAATAATCATAATTCTCCACACCTCTTTCATGGCACTTCCTCCACTTATTTTCTTTTTTCTCTCTTTCTTCCATTTCGCTTTCGTCTTGAGATTCTCTCTTTCTTTTGGGTCTCTTCTATTGCTGAGACGGAGACCGAGACCGAGACTGAGGCTTTTGTGCTGGTTGTTTGCTCTTCCGATGGCTATCGATAATGAAGACGACGGACGGCTCTCGCCTCTCGGCTCTCGGTTTTGGGCTCGACCTGGTCTGGTCTGCTGCCCAGCCCAGGCCCTGTCTTTGACCAAGTTATTAAGTTGTCGTTAATGAAAATCATCAATTTCCGAAGAGGGGCGCGTAATTACTGCCAGGCCATCGAATGGTGATGTCGATGGCGATGCCTCTCGACGATGGCTTCATTAAAGTCTGTGTCCCCACCTGGCCCCTCCCCCCATCCCACGGTCTGTTCCACATGCAGCGCCTACTCCAATATTTGCTGCATTCTGCCTGCACCTTGCTGATAAGACCGTTTCACTTTCTGTTCTCTCTGCCACACAGACACCCCCTGCTCCTGCTCCTGCCCCACGCTCTCGTATCATAATTGGCTGCCACGCGCTTTTGTTTGCTTTTGTTTTGAAGGCGCATTTAATTAGCTCTGATGGGGGCAGCATGTGGAGGCATGTCTGCGGGTGTGGGGGCGTGGAGGCGTGCAGTGGCCGTGGCCGAAACCAAATCAAAATCGGTGTTAATTATTCGATAGGCAGGGCTTAGGGGCTTCCATTCCAATCGGCAAATGGAAATGCTACGGTTGGGGACTATCTGTGGGGTATTGGTTAATGGAAAGGCCTAACTTCAATGAGGAAACAATAGCAGAAAAGAAAGTCAATATCTTTACACTGATTCTTGAATGAGAGCACTGCCTCCAGAGTTGTATTGGGCAACGTTTACAAGTGAATGGCAAAGTGCCAAAGAAACAGCTGACCGTCATTTTTCCTACTAATGTATAATAATATATTTCATTTTAAAGAGTTTAATATTAGACGTAACGCTGCGCCTTTTTTCTCTCAGTGTAAGTCATTCTCCATCCTTACTCATTCAGAAGTATCCCTATTCTCATCTCATAAAATACATTTCCCAGGGACAAAATCGCTGCTGAAAATATGTTTCTCCCATTAGAAGGTAGTATTTTCCACATTCTACACTGATATTTCTTTCTTTTTAGTTTTCTCTGTTAATTAATGTTCCTTAATTTATTTACCCTATCACTTTACCGATCTGGCACGGCAGCTGTTTGTTTGTCTTTAATCTATACTACGACTATATGCCCCCACACATCTATCGAAGCAATCAACTTTAATTGTAGCCAGAGATTAGATGTCTGTTCACCTTTGAGCCACTCCATCTCCAGGGGAAGAATACTGGTAGGATACACCCACGCACACCCACACACCCCCGCCACACACTCTCAGGGAAAGACAGCTGGTCGGCTCATTTCCGCTTCCTTTGTTGGGAGGCGGATGCCACTTCCTGGGGCAGCCTCGAAGCCTGCCTTGCCGCCTCCTCCACGGCTTATCGAAAGGGGAAGCCCTAGTACCAGGAATACAGGAACACAGAGGGCTTCAGGGCCGGATCAGAACTTTTGCTTTATTACCTTGGCAGTAGGCGTGGCAGCTGCAACAGCCGCAAAGCCCACGACCGCAGCATGGATGCTAGTGTGCTTGTGAGTATCTGTGAGAGCATCCTGCTAGCATCTGTATCTGTATCCGTGTGCGGTACGGTGCGGTGTGGTGCTTGTGTTTGCTTGTGTGCCAGACAGTGCCAAACTTTGGCTTAATATTGGCAAGTGCGTAATGAAAATTGCATTGTCGTTTTCAGTGAGTGGTTCCGGGTGGATCGGGTTTTGCGGGGATTGAGAGTGGGGTGTGGGGTGTGGGGTGTCGGAAGTGGGTCCCTCACATGGTCTGAGGCCTGCTTTTGGGTCCAGCCTTTTGTCCATCCCTCTCTCTCTCTCTCTCGAAGTCCAAACGGGCTTTTCTGGTGGTCTGTTTGTTTGTTTGTTTGCTCGCTTGGGCCCGGCGGCAAGATTTTTAGATTATGACGGCTCTGCAATCCTCCCCCCCACACTCTACTTCGATTGGGGGTTCTACACTGCAGGAAATTCAGTATGTGAACCATTAATTAGGATTAAGGGATTGAGGCTGGGGCATACGAATAAATAAATATAGAAAGCAGGCATTTTGGAAGGCAGTTCTTGACTCTTTTTCGACTGATTTTTTATGTATTTTTTATCCTTGACTTAAAAGCCTCACAGTCTGATTCAAATACCAGAATGACTACAAATCTAGCTATAATTTTGCTCCCCAAGCAGAACCTTCGCCTGGAGACACAGCCCTTGGGACCTAGAGGCTAGAAGGATGCGTCCAAGCACTTCTTGGCTTTACTAGTACCCAGTTGTTCCTTAAGATCTGCGCTCTCTTCGCCGTAAAACGATGCCGTACCTACCAGTGTAGAACCTCTTTGGAATGGTTCACAGCACAGGGAAAACCACACGTTTTAAATCCCTTTTTGTTATCATTAAATTGTTGTCCAACTTTGTTCTAACCCCCCACTTTCTCTCAGTGCTTGCAGTATTTGTGGGCATGTATTTGTTTGGTGGCGAGACGCTCTTTCACTTTATTGGCGACATCAATGAATGCGGGGACGCCGCTGCCCATCGAGGACTTGTAGATTCACACGCCTGCAACACCCATTCAGCTGGTGGAGAATGCCCTCTTTTGGAGCACACTCCTCCCTCACTCCTGCCTTCGTTTTGTGGTCACTTTTTTGGCCAATATTTATCTTAACGGTTTTGTTTGTCTTTTACAAAGCGTTCGACTGTGGCTCTTTGCCGTTGCTGTTGCTGTTTTTGTTGCTGTTGTTGTATCTTGATTTTATTGCTAGAGTTGCAAACATGCAACAGAAATAGCAAGAGCCCCAGAGTAGAGCAATACTCGTAATAAAAAGGAGCATCGGGCATAGAGAGCCTGCCACACGCCACCGCCACCGATCCCTCGAGTGGGACAGGGACTGGAAGTGGGACTGGAAGTGCGAGTGGAGGGTGGAGGGTGGCGGCGCTGCAACAGAAACGCACAGATAGATGACTAGATTCCTATCAGCGTCAATAAATAAAGTTTTTAAATGGAACAAGAAAATAAATATGTGTCTCCCTGTGTCTCCCTGTTGTCACAGAGCAGCGGAGCGGAGACGACAGTAGACCCAGATGAGGAGGCTGCTGATGCAGGAGATCCCGGCGCGGCTGACAGTGGTCCACAAGAGGAGGATAGGTGGGTACAATATGAAGCATGTTTCTGGAAATGGATCTTACACAACTTTTACTTTCAAAGTCAGCCAAATTCAATGAAGGATGGTTGGAAAACACTGTACCTTCCTGATTAAAGCAGATTATCACAGCCATCATTCATTCATTGAGTGATCCAATGCAAAGGTGAGGGCTAATTGAGTGCCTCTATTCATTTATTTCTTTATATATTTATTTATAATGAAAGCTTTAGCCACAACGTTTCACATTGATTTGGTTTTGGTCAAACCATAACTAATAAAATTGTATACATTATATTGAATTATCGTTTATGGGTACACATGATATGTTCGTTCTTTTCGCATAGAAGGCTCGAAGAAATGGCACTCCAAACTTATGGATGTCGGTGGTTGGATGGTAATATTTTTCTGTTTGTTTTCCACCATTCCTTGGCCAATGCTGCTTAGTTACAGGATGAATGAATTTTGAGTCCTAAGAATAGGTGTTATTCCCACTGTATCCGTAGTAGCTTCGGGGAGGCACCTCCCCTGGAGGCATTCCCATCAGCTGCTGCTGCTGCTTTGTCCGGGGTTTTGCTCATATTGAAAAAGTTTTTTCGAGTATCCATTGCCATTGCCTGTGTCTCTCTCACCCAGTCTCTCTGTCTCCCAATGTCTCATTTTCTCTGTCTCGTAGTCTTCCTGTCTCTCTCTTTCGCTCTCTGTCGCTCTCTGTGTGTTTCTCTGCCTGCCTGTGTCTGGCCTGTCTGTTGGCTGTCTGTTTGTTTGCGCGCTTTGTCTCATGTCTTGTGCAATATGCGTCGTGTCTTGGGGTATGCTCCTCCGCGCCCCACGCCATGCCACACCACCCATTGGTGCTCCATCGACGACTCCTCCTCCTCCTGATTGCACTCTGGCAACCACCCACCCACCCACCAGCTCCTACTGCTAGTCCCCGGGTCCTCCCATTCCTGCTGTTGACGGAGCAAATGCAGCAGCATCTCCCAGTGCTCTCGCCTACATACGAATACGAGGAGAACATGCACCAACTTACATTGATTTTATAATTAGCTTTGCCGCGCTCAGTGGGTCGCCGGTGGGTTGAGCACAGGAAGAGCTGGTTGTCCTAGGGCCTTGGGGGTTGGGGGTTGGGGGTTGGGGGTTGGTTGGTGGCAGGATGTGCGCTGCCTGGCAAAAGAATTCAATGTCGAAGTCAACTCGTGGGCCATTAAAACCAGCCAATTACCTTCAAGACTCATTAAGTGCTACAAGCTATGGTATCGCCATCCCCATCTCCCCATCCGCTGCAGCGGGTGGCACTGGTCCATGGGGCTCCTGCCATGGTGGGTTCTTCGGTGGAGAAAGGGCTACCGTACCGCACCGTACCGTTGGCTGACCGTTACAATCGAATTAGGCGCCGCTCGGAACGCTAAATGCAATTAAAACTACAAGATGTTGATTACATTAGAAGTGCAGGACAAACAGGAGCAGGAGCTGGAGCTGGAGCAGGACCAACAGCAGTAGCACGGCGAGCACTAGGATGGTGTGCTTTCGTGGGTCTGAGGTTGGGGAAGGATTGAAGCGTGCTCTCTGGCCAGCCATAGGAGCCGGCAAAATGTCAAGCATTTCCCCCCATGCCATGCCCACACGCTGTTGGCTGCGTGCTCTGTTGTTGTCATGCCCGGAAAAGTTGCGGCCAACTTGGGCGAGACTCCGACTCCGACTCCGACCCCCCTTCCTCCCTCCCATTCTGCCACTCTCCCACTCTGATGTTGTCCTGGCTGCCGGTTCATATTTTATCCTTTTTTTTTTGCTGCTGCTGGACCTCTTTTTTCTGTCACGTTCATGCCCCAAAAATTGTTGCGGTTGACCAAAATTATTTTGCATTCACAAAAAAACAGGATCAAAATTAAAGCCCTGGGCGCCGAATCATTAGACACTCTCGATCATAGATATTGGTATAAAGTGTGTGGAAAGATATTCAAAATAATATTTTTAGGGTTTTCTTTTTGATTATTTTCAGAAAAAATAGAATTTTGGATTTTTGGCAGCTATTATCTTATGGTATTGTTATATGGATATGAAATTTTTGTTTATTTTATATTGGATCCTGTCTTTTCAAGTGATAAACATCTTTCGAGTGGACAAATACTCGTTAGCAATCCAAACAAAAATAGCAAAAATAGACGTCTTTGCAAAGTATTTGCCAGATAAAGAGCTCTATATCGATACTACATTTCAAAATGATGATCCACACTCTATATATATATATAGTATATACATTCCATTCCCTTTTATTGTGCCAAATATCAGATCCAATTCGTTGTAACCTTTTAAGGAGTACCATAAAAAAAGCAGAGAGAGAGAGAGAGAGAGTGAGAGAGAAAAAACCAACGAAAGTAAACAAAAAAGTTTGTCAATGTCGTGGGGGACCCAAAGGGGCGCAAGGGTATGAAGGGTGGCCAGAACTAATGTGTCAGCCATCACTCATCATACACATATGAAGGAGTCGTCCGTATGTGTGCGTGCGGGTGTGTGTGTCAGGGCCAAAGCCTCAACGCTAATTTGTGGATGATAAATTATTGATGTTAAAGCCGAGCCAGAGAAGCACCGAAACAACCGCCAGAAACAACAACAACGGCCCAACCGCAACGACCGCATAATCCGGCTAAGCACAAATTACAATCCGAACTTGGCCAACAACAGGGCAGAGTTGGGAAAGTCGGAAAAGCCAGGACGGGGGCCAGCCCGGCTCGAAATAGCTTGTCAACAGGCTAATCCCCTGAACCGCTCAGCCAACACGAATCACTCATTCATACAAATCATTTTTACTTTTATTCAATCTGAGAAGTTCTGGGATTTCATATTTCCCATCTCTCCAATTCTCCACTCTCCATTCTTTATCGCTCTCTCCACTCGGCTCCTCTTGCTACGTTCGTAAGCCCACAGGAATGCATTGGGGGACATGGGGGGGACGAGAGCTCGCGCTTGGTAATGGAATCAAAGGGAATCAATGGGGAATCACAGTGAATTGGAGTCGTTGCTTGGATAAACAGATTATACAAGCTCAGGCGAGGGACGACAGGGAAAGGTAACGTAGCAGACAGAATGAAAATCGTAACGGTATCATCTTTAAAGAGGAAGGAAAATGGTTCAAGTGGAACCTCTGGGGGTAAAATGATGCCACGATGTAACCAATTAGGGGAATTAATCAACATAGACGGGGGCTCATGTATGTTCTTGGGGTTGAATTCAAAGAAAAATACATCTGTGGGTCATCAAACGAGTATAATCCACGAAACTATAGAAAATATTCCCCCAACACTTGAGTTCGTTCTCGCAAAGTATTGCAAAGTGCTGGCAGCTGATGCTGCCCCAAAGCCACCGCTAAGTAGCATCCTTTCATCACATCATTGGGTAATACTTACTCCTCCTGCACCGCCATCGGATTTGGCTGCCATTAAGGGCCAACCATCAGCTAATTGATTTAAGATTCCCTCTTCCGAAAACCCATTTACCTGCAGCTCTCCTCGGTGACACAGGCAGAGAGAGAATGAGAAAGAGACAATCCTTGAGCATAATCAGTTGCTCCTGCTTCAGATGGTCCTGCTGCTCCTGATGTTCTTCTGCTGATGCACTTAAAGTCATTTCCCTGCATCGACTCCTCTCTCTCTCTCTCTCTCTGTCTCACTCTGTCGCATTATCCTGCCCCACTGCTGGCTCTCCACTCTGCCCCGTCTGCTGGCCATTTCATGGCTTTGGCAAACACTTGCCGCCAGCTGCTGCCGTTACTCCTGCTACTGCTGCTGCCTTCATTTGAATAGACAGTGGACATCGGAGCGGGGGCTTTGGCCAAGTCGGGAGCTCATCAAATGACGACTCCCGGACACCCCCGACTCCCGGCAACCGATGGCCACTTTGCGCCTGCTTTTGTTGGCTTTTGGCTATCTCTCGCTCTGCATTTGCCACTTCTGCTGCCTCTTGCTCTGCCCCCTCTCCCGCTCTCTGGGTTTCTGCTTAGGTGTCCGGCATTGTTTCAATTAGTGATTCCGGTGCTGGGGCCGGGGCCAGTGCCAGTGCCGAGGCTAGGTTGGGTGGATGTGGATCCTGCCACCATGCCACTGTTGGCCACTCATTAGCAGCGCTTGCAGTTTGCGGTCTGCGGCCACTGTCTGACCTTACCCACTTACCCCTCGTTCTCCTGTTCTCCTGCTCTCCTGTTCCTGCAATCATCTCCTACCCGGTGCACGCTTCATCACCTCTTTTCCCCGCCATTTTTTTTTTTTTTGGAGGAGGAACCATTGTACTCCCAGGACAGGAGTGGGATATGAATCACAGGTACAGTGCGGTGCAGCACATTAGTGGTGTTCTGGGTTGGATGAAGTGTTTGAATTCTACTATGGGGATGCACTCAAAAGCCGTGTTATTCTGGCATTCATAGTCTCCGGAAGCCAGGTGTTCAAAGAGCAAAGCTTGTTCTGTTGCTCCAATTCTGTTTCAAGTATATATAATAATTCTTTATGATTCAGCATTCTCCAATAGCCCTGTGGAAATATACTTAGTTTTCCAGCTGATTCTGGTATCGGAATATAGCTTTTTGTCCCTATTTCATTGACTAATCGTAATTCGATTATAGAGAAACAAATTTATGTTATTTTTCAATTGATTTTATTATCGGATCGATTCTCTGACGATCCTTTTGAAGTATCTCTCTGCCGGGAGTTCTGCTTTATGATTTCGAAAGGCATTGTGTTGTATATTATTTTTGTTAAATTTTGGCCTTAAATCTTTTTCTGCCACTCCCTACGTTTCCTTTTCCGCTTCCATCTCCGCCATCGTTGATTGTTTAATTATTTGCCATTTTTCGTAGCACACTTTTGTGGCGTGCGGGGGGGAGGGGGATGGGAAGAGGGTTCTCCACCATTGAAATGAAATGTTTGTCCCGCAGGACAGAAGTCCATGCATTCAATGAGTCCTCCGACTCTGCCATTTCTTGTCTGGGTCGCATGCTTTGTGCATTTATAATCATTTTTCATAAATGTCTGACCATTGGGCATAGACGACGACGGGCCTTTTCCATGGCCATGGCAGCCAGGCAGCCAGGCAGCAGCCAGAAGGCAGAAGGAGAAGCGTTCACATTTACTGTGACAGCTCTCAAAGGATTAGACGTGTTTCACATTTTAAATTGTTCATAGCGACTGTCCAGGTACCCCTTCATCATCGTCATGATGATGATGACTCCGCAGGGAAGGAGAGGGGAGAGGAGACTCCCGACTCCCCACTCCCCACTCCCCACTCTCCACTCCCGACTCCCCACTGATGATGATGATGATGGTGACGTCCAGCAGCTGGCTTTTGTCTAGAAAACTGTCTAGGCGCCGATTGCTCAACTCGTTAGGGACATGCGAGGACCAACAACAACACACATGGATGTACACCTTAAAACACCCCCCCGTCCCCCATATGCTCTCTCCATAGTCCTCTCTCGCCGTGTGTACCCTTTGGTGTCTCTTTATTCAATTGCCATTTGTTGCTCTCCCTTTGCCGTTGTTGCCATTCAGTTTTTGATGTGCATTTATGTACCTTTTAAACGACGCGTCCTGTGGGAAGGGTGTATAAGGTAGAGAGAGGACTTTTCGACTCTAAAGACTAGATATATGAACAGATTAGATGGGAAGGCCAAGGGGTGCTCTTTTTAAGTCAAGATATTTTCTATAAAATCTTCTATTATGACAATTTCCCATCACCTTTACTGCTGCCTTCTTTGGCTCTTGAAACACTGCACAAAGGGTATCTCTCCCTTCGAAATCATCATTTATGCCCATTCCCACTTGTTTTTTGTTGTACTTTTTGACTTTTGCTCTGCGGCAAAACTGATTTAAGCCGCTTACCCATCGCTCCATCCTGCCATGCCATGCCCCCTCAAAAGTGGGTCTGCCCATAAGCCGAATGCTCTCCAATGCCAATTCTGCGTGTTGCTTGGCGGGTAACTCTCCTCTGGGGTTCCCCTTTTCCATGGCTTCCCCGACTACCGCCGGTTCCCTGGTTTGGGTAATTGACGTTGATGGAGATTATGCAGACCTTATGCAGACGTCGACGCTCTGGCGCTCTGTTTGCATTGGCGTCATGGATAGCACCCGGCAAAAACAATATACATATGTACGTATGATATCTGGCATAACTTTAAAGCCCACCCCGCCCTTGATTCGGGGTTTCGGAGTGCATTTACGCTGTAATAGAGAGCCGATTAAGTAGGGCTTTCAGGCGGATGGCGGGGAAGGTACAAAATAAAGTATGCACAAATTCAGAAATTAATTAGCATCTATGTAAATGCTTCGCTTCGGTTATTAATGGAATATCAGGTGAAGAGCTTAAGCGATGAGTGGTTTCTGCTCTCCACAAAAAATTTGATGCATAATTACTTCAGTTCTCGAATATATATAATCCGATTTAGCGATTGCCATTCAATGTCTACAGCCTTGAATAATTGTATAGTGTTTTATTTGAAAGGGATTCATTG